AAGAAGGAGAACGGAAAATTAAAATCATGAAAGTAGCCCGAGAAGATCTCCTGATTTCTGCTGGGAGCGCACGCACAGAGGGAGCGGGGAGGAGCGCGGGAAGGACAGAGGGAGGAGGGGGAGGGGGCCAGTGTTGTGTGAAGGGATAAACATTATTCTGCAGCCAAATAGCAGAGCGGCGGCAGGAGGAGGGACAGATAATCTATCACGGAGCAGTGATGGATGTCCCTGCTGCAGCCAGAGGCCGGCGGAGCCTGGGGTCCGAGAGGGTGGGCCCCCCCCCAGGGGGCTGCCTCTGAGGGCCCAGGGCAGAGGCCGCAGCCCAGCTGGAGAGATAGTGTCTGTGCCAGAAGAGACCTTGAGGGCGTGTGGAGTCCGATCAGAAGGAGAGAAGGGAAACAGGCCCAGAGAGGGGAGGCCGGCCCCGAAGCCACTCAGCAAGCTAGTGTCAGGGTGAGGCAGCAGCCGGTCCTGCCCCCTCGCCGCGTCCTGTCCTGCGTGGGGAAGCGGCACCCCGTCCCTCAGGGGGGCAGGGCCGCGGATCCAGTCTGCGATTGCTTCCGAGTCTGGAATCGGCCCCCCGAGGGGGCTGCGTCACCTCACAGCCCGAGGCAGAAGGCGTGTGTGTGTGTGTGTGTGTGTGTGTGTGTGTGTGTGTGGAGGGCCTGGCCGGGGGTGGGGGTGGGGGGCGTGTGTGGCGACGGGAGCTGGGAGGGAATCCAGCTGGGCTCCCTCCGTGTCCCACGGGAGAAGAGGACCCCCGGATCTGGACCCCGTCCATCTCCAGCACCAGCGGGCACCTGCCCCGTGTCTGGCCCAGAAACTAACGTCCAAGGTCCAGCTGAGCTCACAGGGCGGCGGGAGGGCCAGGGTCCTCGGGGCCCAGGGGCTCCGGGCCTCTCCTCACCCTCCCGGGACCTCAGGGGGGGCGGTGGCCGTGGCTGCAACATCACCTCCCTCCCCGACGGGCGCTGTGGGGGCACCGGCCAGCTCCCTGCACCCCGCTCTCTGCCCTGCTCAGCGGCACACCTGAGACCCCGTGCGGAACAGGTGGACAAGGAGGGGGCAGCTAGACAGGCCCCCTCTAGAGAGTTCTAAAGTGAATCAAGAGACAGAGAAACCGGACAGACAGAGTAATGAGACCAATACAGAGAGATCTCCCCAGAACCCCCAGCTGTCCAGGACCTCCACCTTCCTGGGGCTCCTTCCCCTTGCCTCCTTGGTTCCCCACATCTACATGGGACCTCCACCTCCCAAGATTTCTAACCCCCTACCCACTAAGAAGCCCAAATCTTGCCTTCCCAGGACCAACATTTTCTAGGATCCCAATCTCCAAACTCCCCAAGACTTGCCCTGTCCCGAGACCCCACCTCCTGAGGACCCCACCTCCCCAGACCCCACCTCCCCAGAACCCCATCTCCCTAGGACCCCTGCTCTCCCAGACCCCCTCCATGCACCTCTGTCCTCCCACCCTGGGGCTCCCTGCCTCCCTGGACCCCTCACCCAGAGCACCCTCCCCACCCCTACCGTCAAGGGCGGGACCTGTGGGGCCCTTTCCCTGCAAAGCCCCTATGCCTCCTACCTCCTTTGCTCTGAAATTAAAGGTGATCTCAACCTCCTTCAGGAAGGTTCGGTAGCAAACACCACTTGGCCTTCTTGTCGCTTTGACCAGAGCCGGGAGACTTTGCTTACTGCACAGGAGGGGAGTGGCCGCAGCAGCTTTCGAGCTCTGGGCGCTGGACACGGCCCCGCCCCGGGTCCCTTCTGTCTGCAGCAGGAGAAAGGACATGGGGTTGGGGTCCCAGCGCCTGCTACGCCGGAGAAATGGGGAGCAGAACGGGCCTCTCGGGTGGTCATGGGGCCGGTACCCGCCTGCCTGGGGGAGCCATGACTATGTTCATCCCTGGGGAAGGAAGCACACCCCGCTGTGGCCATCCTGGGTGTACGTGACCCCCTGACAGGGGGGTGCAGGGCAGCACCCCACCTCCCCAGCCGCCTGTGGGCCGGGGGCTGGTGGGTCACGAGGCACTTCATTCCTTCAGGCCCATGAGGCTGTTCCCGTGGGGTCTGCAGGCAGCTGGGCGCTAGGAACCTGCTTGTCCGAGGAGCTTTGCAGGGGAGGGGGGCAGGAGAAGGGGGCTGAGGGGTTCAGAGCGGAGGTTTGGGCTTCCCGAAGGTGGATTTCTATGCTGCTGAGTTTTGCCTCTGAAATTGGCAAAGGCTTTCTTGGTCCCAGGAGACCGGAAGGGAAGGAGGGAAGGGATGGGAGCCAGGCCAGAAAGGGGGGGGAAGGGGGGGTGGGGCGCCTGGCCCCAAGGGGCTGAGGGCTCTCTCGGGCCCAGCTGGCCCGACTCCAGGGGTCCCCTGCACCCAGGACACCAGGGAGAACCCGGTGATCAGGCCAGCGGCTCGGAGGGCCTCTGCTCCCAGGCTCCTGAGCGTTGAGCTCTGCTCCTCTGAGGGATTTTTCATCAGATGCAAATGATTTCCCGCAGGGGAGGCAGCAAAGCCTCCTTCCACCCGAGCACCCCTGGCCCCAGGTCTCCAACTGCCCCCAGGGCTCTACGGAGCCAGCCCCAGATTGGGGGCCACTCCGGGGCCAGCCCCCCCCCCCCCCCCCGGGCCCCATCGGGAGGAGGGGTGGTGATGATGGAGGGCAGACAGGGAAGCTGGCCTGAGGTGGGGAAGGGCTTCTTTCCTGATCAGAGGGGGGACAGCCCTCGGCCGCCCCCACCCCGGCCCCGGGGCCCCTCCGTGTGACACCAAGCCCCCCCATCCCTCACATCCCCAAGGGTCGATTAAGATGTCTGGAGTTGATTAGATTCTGACACTGATGAAATCCAGAGGTAATTAGCAGAGGAAAAAAAGTTTTGATTAGTTCTCAGCATAATTCCCTGCAATTATTCAAAGTTCATGCCTGCAGGGGGTGGAATATCTCCAGGAATATTTATTTATATCGGGATTTTTTTCATCAACTTTGTGAAGCTAGTTAATCACCAGGCCTGAACTTGTTAACTCGGAGGCTCGATGGGGCCGAGCTGGGCCCCCGTCACCCTCGGAAGAGAGAGTGGGGACCCCCCCAGCACATGAGTTGGGGCACGCCTGCCAGCTTGCTGGGTTTGTTGTCACCATCTCACTCACACGGGGTCTCGGCCATCGGATCCACGTGCCCAGCTCTGGAGCCACCGTTGCCCCAGTGCACACACAGACCCCACCACGGGGCCCTTGCCCGGGCCGTGTGTCCCCCAGGTGGTCAAGGAGACCCTTACCTGTGGCGGAAGGCCCAGGCCAGGCAAGGCTTCGTAGGCCCTGCTGCCGGACTAGAGGTGAAGGGTGACTTCTGAGGCCCTGCTTCCTGCCCTGGGCCCTGGAGCCACCTCGCAGGGCACCGTGGACCTGGAAGACAAATGTTTCAGGAAAGCCCCGGGGCAGGTTCGGGGACATCCTCTGGGGCTCCGGCTGGCCAGCTCACAGCCACACTGTGAGCTCAGAGTGGCAGCTCGGGTACTGGTCCACGTCACTGTTTCCCCCATCACCTGGCTGGGACCTCCTGAAAGGACAATCGTGGAGGAGGTGAAGGAGGGAGGGAGGGAGTCTGGTAACGACCCGGAAACCCAACGTTGAAGGAAAAGGGGTTTGACTGTCAGAAAAGCGCCTCAGCCTCTGATGAAGGGGAATGAGGCCAGGGCTGCCCCCCACCCCGCTCCCAGGCAGCCATGGGGCCGCCCCCCGCCCCCCACTCCTCAAGTTCACGAGCTCAGGCCTTCTCTATGTCCGGTCGCCTCGGGAACCGCAGCACGTGGAAAGCTAACACAGGGTGTCTCGGTCCCATCTGTCTGCAGAGGCCGGAGGGCAGAGCCCAGGGCAGGGCTGGTCCCCTTGGGGAGCTGTGGGCTGGGTGAATCTGGGGTCCTTTCTGCCACAGAGCCCAGGGTCCATGCGTGTGCCGACCGTGGTTCTAAAAAAGGCCACAACGCCACTTTCCCGTCCAGCCAGGCCTTCCAGAACCGGGCCACTGCCCCGCTGAGAAGCGGAGTGTGTCCCCGCCTGCGTTTGGGGGCATCCGCCACGTGGCATGGCCACGACATGCTCTGTGATTTCTGAGGCTGGGTCACACAGGCCGATACAATTGCCACCTGGCTGTCTCGGGGACACCTGCCGCGGGAACCCTGATGCCTATTCTTTGGAAGCCCAGGCCCCGCGGAGAGGCCCACGGGCAGCCCAGCCTGAGTGCGTCCCGGGGAACCTGCCCCATCCTGTGCCTTCCGGCTCGTGCCCAGCCCTGCCCGCGTGGCAGATTCGAGAGCGGAATGAACCATGGTTTCAAGCCACCGAGTCTGGGCTGTCAGCACGTGGACCCCGCTGGCAGCCCCCCCGCCCCCCCCCCCCCCCCCCCCCCCCCCCCCAGCCCAGCCGGAGCGGCTCTGGGGAGGACGCAAGGCCACGACCGCTCTGTCTCCTTTCGGGCAGCAGAGAGACTTCTGTCCTCACTGAGAACTGAGCGCCAGCCCTCCCTCCTCACCCCTGTCAAGGCTGCCTGGAAGACATGGGCCTCAGCGTCAGGTGACTCTCTTTTCTGATTAATTTAGCCCGAACCAGCACGAGCTCTCAGGCAGACGCTGCCAGCCAGGTTCTAATGCTGAGCTTTATTAGCTGGGTGGTTCGGGGAGGGGCATCTGTGACCAGTCTGCCCGGTTAACGCTGCCCTAATCCAGCCAAGAGGGAAGCTTGGAAACTCCCCCTCTTTCCCCGAGAAGGTGGTTCAGCAGCAAAGCGTGGGCTCCTCCGAGAAGGGGGGAGCACAACAGAAGGAGGCACCGGGCGCCCGGCAGGGGCAGTGAGAGGCCTGGCTTGCTGGGTCCAGCGTGGACAGGCAGAGCGAGGCCGCCCTCCCCAGGGGCCTTCTCAGGCCTGGCCCTGCCTGGCCCTCAGAGCCTCAACCTCCCCCAGGCAGGCCTCCCGCCTCCAGGCCTCCCCTAGACGCCTCCCCCAGACAGGCTGGCCGCACAGCAGCACAAAAGGTCAGCGGACGTGGTCTCTGTTTCCCGCTGCGCCACCAGGCCCGGCCCTGAATTGCACAGACGCTCTGGGGGCTGCGTCCTGGGCCGAGTGCTGGTACGCAGAGTGCGGGGGGGGGGGGGGGACACATGGGGACGTGGCACCTGCAGGCGGATGTCTTGCAGGCCAGGCTTCCCAGACCCTCCGTAACAGGCGTCGCTGCATTTTCGAGTCCTCTGTACACCTTGCTCCTGGCTGACCCAGAAGTGACCCCCTTCATTCTTGGCTCTGGCCTTACTCTTTGGGGCTGGGGTTGGACCTCTCTTCCGGGAGGCCTTCCTGGGCCCTGCCAGCCCCGGAGGCCCAGCTCAGGGCATAAAAATGACCACAGTGACTCACAAAGTCCCCCACCTCAGCCCCCTTGCGGGGAAAACGGGAACGTCTCAGGAGCCCATGAGCTAAATGTGTGCAAAACGCTGCCGTAGACAGCAGTTCTTTGGAAATGCCAAAGTGCTTTGAGATCCAGAAAGCACGTCACTAACCACGGCAGCCAACCTCCAAGATGGCCTCCAGAGACCCTCCCTGCTGGTATTTACGACCTCATACGGCCTCTTCCGACTCCAAGTGGCCTGGGCGATGACAGGATAGTGTGGAAAAGGCAGAGGGTGACTTCCCAGCGAGGCCACAAGGGGCAGGGACTTCCTCCTTGTGCCCGTGGGCCACCCATCCTGTCATGAAGATGCTCAAGCAGCCCATGGACATGGCCAGGTAAGAGGAGCTGGGGACCAGCCAGCAGTGGCCAGTACTGATGCGTGGGCCGCCTTGGAGGAGGGGATCCTCTGCCCCAGGTGAACCTTCAGATGACACAGCCTCCCGAGAGACCCTGAGGGACCACCCAGCTAAGCCACTACCAACTAACTGGCCCAAGAAATTACGTGAGGTAACACACGCCGTACTAACTCACTAAACTGTGTGGTGATTTGTTACACGGCCGTAGCTAACTAGCACACAAGCCGATCGCTTTGTAAACCAAAAAATAACGCTAATAGCAATGGTGACGTGTCCTTGTAGGAGCTGTGGCTGGGGGCGCCTCCTGTGGGGGCCACCGTGATGGTGTCAGGTGGGGGCTTCCCTATGAACACAGGGCGCCAGCCCGGGTCTCACGCACCAGCAGCCCCCAAACTTACTTGGATTTCCCATCAGCCGCCTTCCCAGAGCAGGGGCCAGATGAGGGGCTCGGAAGCCCCCTCCCTGGCCCCCCCCCCCCCCCCGATCCAATCATTGCCCCTGTTTGGACAGGAAAAAGGCCCTCACTGGTTTTCCCCAGTCCGCAGCTTATGCCAATAAAGTCTGTGTTCTCACTCAAAAACCCTTTCTTTCTCAGAAAGCTCTGCTCTTGCAAAAGAAATCCTCTGCGCTTTCAGAATATTGCCTCTGCTGTGAGTTTTTAAAAATTCATCCAGAAAGTCAATTGATTTCTTTGTTCTAGCTGTGTCTGCCTCCCCCGCGAGGCAGCTGGGGCCCAGATTCAATGGGCAGAGGCCACAGAGCAACAAGAAAACTGTGGAAAAGATGAAAACGTCTGTTATTAACTCCAAACTCTATGGTGCTCCGGCAGTACCCAGGCTGCTCCGGAGGTCAGGGCCAACCCCAGGAATCCCAGTGCTGGTGGAGCCGGGGCAGACGGGGCTCCTGCCCCCGCTTCACCTCCAGCTCAGAGGCCACCCTCTGGGATGTCAGCCCCACCCAGCGACACACTGTGCGCAGCCCAGCTGGGGGCACGGGTGTGGGCTGTAAACAGCCCCCGGGGTGTACAGGTGAGGTGGGAGGTCCAGGCACAGCTCCAACAGCAGTGGCCAGAGCAGCGTGTCAGGTCTGATGAGGATGTCAGCTCAGGGGCTTCCACACCATGGCCTCTGCCCTGCCCCACCCAGGGAAAGATAAGCCTCAGGCTTCTGGAGACACCTGCCCTGCCCCCAGGGCATGAGTGGCCCCCACTTCTTCCTCGGGGTCCTGCAGATCCAGAGATCAGCAGGAGGCTCCCACTACACAGAAAGTGAGGGACACCCTCTGGATGCCATGTTAATGTCGCTATGGTCAATAGAGGCCGTCTCTGGAACGTCCACTGTACTTGCCCTGTGATAGGGATCTCAGTTCCTGGGATCCGGCTCAAACAGGGGCAAGTGGCAATCTGTGTCTATCCCAGAGTCAATGGGCATGAGACCCTGTCTCTGACTTGGCCCTTGTGAAACCAGTGTAACCCTGTCAGCCTAAAGTTTTGGTTGTCCTTGCATAGAAGTCAAGGAAAACCAGAGTGTAAAGGGCCCTAGGAGAGAAATTCATTCAAAAGTCTCATTTAAACACAGGGAAACTTGGGTTCTATAAGGCATTCCTGTACCTCAGTGTCCAGTATGGTTTGTGATCAGAAGGGGATGGGTAGATGGATGGGAAGATGGGCAGGACATGAAAGGATGTAGGTGGATGGATGGATAGATGATGAATGGATGGATGGATGGATGGATGGATGGATGGGTAGATGGATAAATGGATGGATGAATAGATGAATGGATGGGTGGAAGATGGATGATGAATGGGTGGATGGATGGAAGGTGGATGGATGGATGGATGGATGGATGGGTGGATGGGTAGGTGGATGGATGGGTAGAAGGTGGATGGATGGATGGATGGATGGAAGTTGGATGGATGGATGGATAAATGGATGGATGGATGGGTGGGTGGGTGGATGGATAAATGGATGGATGAATAGATGAATGGATGGGTAGAAGATGGATGATGAATGGGTGGATGGATGGAAGGTGGATGGATGGATGATGAATGGACAGATGGATGGAAGGTGGAAGGATAAATGGATGGATGGATGGATGGATGGAAGTTGGATGGATGGATGGATGGATGGAAGGTGGAAGGATGGATGGATGGAAGGTGGTTGGATAAATGGATGGATGGATGGATGGATGGATGGGTGGATGGGTAGGTGGATGGATGGGTAGAAGGTGGATGGATGGATGGATGGATGGAAGGTGTATAGATGGATGGATAGAAGGTGGATGGATGGAAGGTAGATGGATGGATGGATGGATGGATGGATGGAAGGTGGTTGGATAAATGGATGGATGGATGGACAGATGGATGGGTAGAAGGTAGATGGATGAATGAATGGATGGATGGAAGGTTTATGGATGGATGGATGGATCAATGGATGGATGGATGGATGGATGGGAACTCATAGCATTAGACATCTCCACTAACATCCTGATTTTAGTCCAAAATACAAAGGACTTCTGGGACACCTGGTGGGCTCAGTCGGTTAAACGTCTGACTTCAGCTCGGGTCATGATCTCACCATTTGTGGATTCGAGCCCCATGTCAGGCTCTGTGCTGAAAGCTCGGAGCCTGGAGCCTACTTCAGATTCTGTGTCTCCCTCTCTCTCTCTGCCCCTTCCCCACTCATGCTCTGTCTCTCTCTCAAAACTAAATAAACATTTAAAAATTTCAATAAAAAAATATACAACGGGCTTATATGGAAATACAATCCAAGCCTGAGGGAAACCTCTTCCACGCACCTGACCCAGCTGAGCTCTTTGTGGACTGCAGAGAAAAAGTGATGGCCCCCAGTTCCAAGACACCCGGTGGGTAATGCAACGAGCCCAGTGTCTCCGTTTGGGGGAAGATGAATGTGAGTGAATAGGTCAGACAGTGGACACGGCATTGGAGGGATCACCTCAGGGAAATGCAGGAGAAGCTCCTGGAAAGATCAGCGTGCCAGAGAGGACAGAACCAACTGCCAACTATTGTAGATCGGAGCAAGACTGTGCCAGATTTTGCTGTGCCAAAAATGGTTGAAAAAGAACAAAGGTGGAGCATAACAGGATGTGATTGCCAGACCAATTATAAAACTGTGGGAATCAAGACAGTGTGGTATCGGCATGTATACAGACAAACAGATCAATGGGACAGAACGGAGTCCGGAAAAAGATGCACACAAAAATGAACAACAAATTTTTGACAAGATGCAAAGGCAATTTGGTGGAGAAAAGATGGTCTTTTCATCCAATGGTGGTGGAACATTTTGGATATCCATATGTCAGAAAAACGAGCTTTGATCCATAACTTACATTCTATACAAAATGTAATTCAAAATCGTTCATAGACCGGTGCCTGGGTGGCTCAGTTGGTTGACCGTCCAACTCTTGATTTCAGCTCAGCTCATGATCCCAGGGTCATGAGATTGAGCCACGCGTTGGGCTCTATGCTGAGTGTGGATGGAGTCTGCTTCAGATTCTCTTTCTCCCTCCCTCTGTCCCTTTCCCCGACTCGTTCTCTCACTCTCTCTCTCAATATATATATACATATGTATATATATGTATTTATATATATGTATATATATTTATATACATATACAAAAAAAAAATAAACAAAATGACTCATAGATCTAACTGTAAAAATCCAGAATTATAAACGTTCTAGCAGAAAACATAGGAGAAAATCTTTGTCTTTGCTTAGATGAAATTGTTTAGCCACAACATCAAAAGAACAATCCATAAAATAAACATAAATAAACGTTAATAAGCTGGACATCGTCGAATGAGAGCTTCCTGCTCTCTAAAAGTCTCAGACAAGGAGAAAATATTTCCAAACCATATATGTGACAAAGGATTTGACAAAATATGTCAAAAACATTCAATATTCCACAGTAAGAAAACAAACAGCTCAGTTTAAAAAAAATGGACAAAAGATATGAACAGATATGTCACAAAAGAAGATACACAAATGGCAAATAAGGACCTAAAAAGGTGCTCGAGGTCGACAGTCCTGGAGAAGTACAAATCAAAACCACAATGAGATACTTCTAAGCACTTATTAGAATGGCTAAAAGTTACAAGACCGACCATATCCAGTATTGCTGAAGGTTTAGACCAACCAGAACCTTTAAATGCTGCTGTTGGAAATACAATATGTTTTAACCACTTCAGAAAATCATTTGTTAAAAATAATTTCTTAAAAGTTGGAAGTTTAAGGGATGCCTGGGTGGCTCAGTCGGTTAAGCGTCCGACTTTGGCTCAGGTCATGATCTCGCAGTTTGTGGGTTCGAGCCCCATGTCAGGCTCTGTGCTAACAGCTCAGAGCCTGGAGCCTGCTTCGGATTCAGTGCCCCTCCCCAACTGCTCGGTCTCTCTCTCTCTCTCTCTCTGGGTAAATGGACACATAATAGTGACATATCCATTCAACGGAATAACACTCAGCAACAAAAAGGAATAAGCTATCAATATGCACGACATCATGAATGAATCTCAAGATTCAAAGATGCTAAGTAGAACTATCTGTGTTCACAAGTGACACGACCTTGTACATAGAAAATCCTAAGGAATCCATACACACAGAATGCATGTTAGAGCCAATAAACAAGTTCAGCAAAGTTGCAGGACACAGGATCAACACACAAAAATCAGCTGTATGTCTATACACTAACCACGAGCAGTCTGAAAAGGAAATTAAGAAAATAATTCCAAATTAAAGAATCAAGAATAAAACACCTAAGAATGAACTGAACCAAGGTGGTACAGACAGGCGCACTGAAATCCACAAAGCATGGCTCCAGGGAAGTAAAGGAGTCCTGAGCAGGTAGAGATACAGCCATGTGCACGGGTCGGAGAACTTGCTAATATTAAGAACTTGCTAATATCAATCAACACTCCAATTGCCTTTTTGCAGAAACGGACGGCAAATCCTCAGATTCATACGGAATTGTGAAGGGACCCTAAATAGCCAAAACAGTCTTGAAAAAGAACAAAGTTAGGGGGACTCGACTCATACCTGTCTGTTTCAAAACTTACTCCAAAGCTACAGTCATCAAACAGTGTGGCACTGATCTAAAGAGAGACAATGATCAGCGAGACTCTGGGAAAAACCCATATGTCTGCGGCCAACTGATCTTCTAGAAGCCAGCCAGGACTACTCCGTGGGGGAATAAATAGTCTTTTCTACAAAAGGCACCAGGACAACAGAAGTCAAGTTGGATCCCTACCTCACGCCATATAAAAAATTAACTCAAAATAAACTTCTAAAAGCTAAATAGAACAGCTAAAACTTTAAAGCTCTCAGAAGAAGAGACAGAGGCAAATTTTTATGACCTCGGGCTTGACAACGGTTTCTTCCATCCGACACCACAACGGCAAGCAACAAAAGGAAAAATACATACATTGGCCCTCGTCACACTGTAAAAACTTTTGCGCATCAGAGGACCCCAACCAGGACAGTGAAAAGACAACCCACAGCCTGGGAGAAAATAGTTGCAAAACATGTGTCCGGTAAGGGTCTAGCACCCAGAACATACAGAGAACTCTCCCAGCT